GCCTCCAGAAGGTCTTATAAGGCGGTCACTGTGGCTTAGGTGTGCGAACTCACTACGTAATTCCGAGGTACCTCCTACTACTTCAGCTGCGGACGATTGGGCAGCAGGCTGTTTTTTTTTTTTTTTTTTTTATAAATATTAACGTTTGTTATGTTATCGTACAGTCGGCAATGGCAAACTACTAGAAATTGCCTAGTACAGTGGTTCTCAGCCTTCCTAATGCTGCGACACTTTAACAGAGTCCCCTCATCGTGTGGCGACCCCAAATCAATTATTTTACTTTATAACTTCAATAAATATGTGTTTTCCGATGGTCTTAGGTGACCTCATTAAAAGAGTCGTTCAACCCACACACAAAAAAAAGGTCGCGACCGGCAGGCTCAGAACCGCTGGCCTTGAAAAACCAAAAACATCACAGACAACAACAACGATATGCTGTGTTTGCTGTAAAGGACATCAACCAGCTTTATTTAAATGTTTTATAACATTTTTATCAGGCTGCTGTTCATCTTTCTCATTAAGGTAACCTCCCACGTGTATCTCAGTCCACCTCTTTCTCGCCTGCTTTGAACTGTCCAACCACTTTGGGGAGCTACCCATGCAGGATGTCTCCACGTTTGTTGTATGTAAAATGGATGAAATAACTATATTGTTATCGTGTCTTATTTAAATGCAAGTCGATAATCAATACAATTATCATCTTCATTAGGATTAGGCATTTATCGTAACGTTCAAAGATTTTTTTTTTTAAACTCAGTAAAGTCCGGATATGTGAACCAGCGTCATTGCACACTGTTATAAACCATAAGTGCTCTGCCACCAGTACGGACAGGTGATACTAAACTGTCCGCTTGTGTCGCCGTCTGCCCGCAACTCCGTAGCTACAGCGACGATCTTCCATTTACTCCAGAGCGTTAAATCTGGCACCCATTACCTAGGTTATTTGTGTATCCTTTATAGGACGTTTCATAACCAACCCCAACAGCCCCTGGCTGTTGTGTGGTTTTTCAAGGTAAATGTACGTCCAGTAGTTTGCCATTGATTTTTGGACGGTCGGCTTTCTTGATACCACTGCCGAAACCAACGCAAGGCGCAAGGCCTGCAGCTGGGATCGAACCCGGCATTGCGGCATTACAAAGCGTTCGCATCGACTTAGCCGACCCATCACCTAGAGGCTGAGTGAACCCTGGAAACCGCCCGGTTTCGAACACCGACCGTGGGCTGCAGCAAGTCGCTGCTAAAAACGTTCAAAGATAGCATGCTTTATCATTGTCAACGCGATAGCCATCCCCACTATCGATCATCATTATTACAATTTGAAATGATAATATCTGTTTAAACTATCAGTGATCAATATTTTCGGAGAAGCGAGTGACCGAACTGCTAGAACGCTGGGCTTTCAAGAAGGGAAATCCGATTTCGAATCCTCGTTAAGACTGGAGATTTTTTTTTTCTTTCTGTCAGGGTCAAAATTAATCCTCACTTGCACAGTCGTGGCGACAGCACTCGCTATGCAGTCGTAAATTCTTAGGCTCACCCGCCCCCCCCCCCTTTTTTTTTTTACACCGCAAAAGTTGTATAATAAATGCAGTGATAGGCAGTACTTTCCGCCGGAGTTTACAACCGGTGAACAATTTTAGGTTAGTTGCGTATCCTTTACAAATTAATCAAGTTACAGAAAGTATTGTGAACGGCACTCATAGAAAAAAAGTAGAAAGATAGAAGAACACACTAGACAACATAAAAATCGAAAGCTATAGTTACCGTGCCAGTTTATTTATAGGAATGACGTATCCTTTACAGGACGTTTCATAAACAACCCCAACAGCCCCTGGCTGTTGTGTGGTTTTCCTAGTAAAATTTACGTCCAGTAGTTTGCCATTGATTTCATGACGGTCGGCTTTCTTGATACCACTGTTGAAACCAACGCAAGACGCATGGCCCGCAGCTGGGATCGAACCCGGCATCCTGGCATTACGAAGCGTTCGCATAGACTTAGCCACAGAGCCGACAGTGAACAAAGGAGAAGAAGGAATTATCAGTAGCATGACGTCTGGCGATCTCTCTGGCAAACCTCTACACCCCAAGATAGAAGATGAGCGACTAAGTAAGTAATAATCAATAGTTTATAAACAGAGCTAGATTTTGCCTTCATGGGGCTCTAAACTGTAACCTGAATCTCAGACTCTTTAAAATTGCATCAGCTAATCTCAGACAACTTTAAAATGGGTACGCCTTTTAAATAGATGGCAAATGGCAATATTTTGCTGTTTTATTTTTATTAAAATAAATAATAAAGAGTGTGCCTGTACAATCGCAAACATTATATTTATGTATTAAAAAAAGTAAATGATCCCTTTCCACGCCTTTCAGGCGTAATGGTATATAGGGCTAGACGTATATTTTACAGACCAAACGGCACTTGGTGGGTGATGTGGTCAGCATCACGCCGGCCGCCTTTACTTCGCAGGACTGCATCTGCTACCCACAGAAGGCTGGGTCGACCTGGGAGCCTAGGTCACTAAAAAAAATCCTGCCTCCCGTCAGGAATTAAACCCACGACCTTCCGACCCGCAAGCGAGCGTCTAGCCACTAGATCAAGGTGGCTTCCAATTTATATTAAATAACCCTCTTAAAAGCTCAAAAGAATATTGCATCTGTGAACAAAAAATAGAAATTGCTGAGACCCTGAGCTTCAACTTAGTAAGCTTATGCCAAGAAACGTATGACTTTGGCAACTGTATATTTGGAATGTGAATAGGATGAAACACGAGATATATGAGCTGGAACTCAGTGTTTGTGCGAGGAGAGCTCATGAGAGGTCAGGAAGAAGAGAGAAATTATTTTTGTATTACGGCGCTTTAGGAAAGAACTTCTGAATGCCTTTGCGTAGATTTTGTTAACATCTGTACAACGGTCGAGAGCAGCGATGAATCCTAAGACAAGTGCTCTGCAAGATGGATGCCTAAGACGTCTGCTGTGATTCTGTTGCTGAATTATAATCGTCTAGTATATGTGTGCTCGGCGATGTTATGTGGAAGAATCCAGACGTGAGAGAGGAGTGATTGAACAGGGTAAAAATATATTGGCTGTATGATATCACTTGATCTTGATTATTGCTCAATACCTAACTAAAAGTTAAAAAAAATAAATGTTCACGTCTCAGGCGCATCGGGCATATGGGAAGAGCACCCACATGTTTTACAGACCAAACAGCACTAGGTGGGTAATGTGGTCAGCGTTACGCCGGCATGCATCCTAGTGTGCTAGCGGGAAGAAAAAAAGCAGGAAAAACACAGAAGTAGGAGAGATAAAGGAAAATTTTTGATTAAGACCAAATGTAATAGTTCCCCGCCAAACAGCAAGAACAGGAGAGTAAAGAAACGACAGGGGTTCTTCTGCGTAGAGGTCCTAGAATATTTAACCAGAACCCAGACAATGAATATCTGTATCGTGAGTTACATGACGACAACCTAACTACATTCACCTAGACGAACCAAAGACTACAGATTCTAAACTAAATCAAGCAAATGAATTATAATCACATTAAACAGCTGTTTATTTTACTGAACTGAACACACAATTAACATATACTTCACAAAAAATACATTACCAACAACAAACGTGCTCAACCAGAATCTAAAGCGATCATCGGCTAACAAGGAAATATGATAATGACACCATACTCTCAGCGAGATTATCTCAACAATGACAAAACCGAAGCATTTTTAACATGTACGTTAAGCTTCAATATGCCACCAGACCAACAAATCACTTATAGCTACCTGCCATCCTAGCGAGAATACACCCTGACATATTACATATAACTACTAGAGACTAATATTTCAGGACTAAATATGGAAACACACCACCGCCGCTAAACCAGCTTGACAACCTGTCTTCCCCTGCGGTCGCCCATACCCCTGCTGGCTAGACCAATGTGCAAAGCCGCTACAGCTAGGTAGGTCTCCACAGGGTCCGTCCGGAAGTCAAAACGAACGATAACAGACTAAACAAGGTCTTTTAATAATTGATGGTTAGCCAGTTTTCTCCGCTTTACCGTCTAAAGATAAAAGCTGTTCATGTGGCCGCTTTGGTCTGTGACATATTGGCCAATTATTTTTGTTAAGTCCCGGCAACTACACAATAGATAACAATTATTGTTTACTAATCCTCCTTCAACTTTTGTTCTACATTCCACCTAGTTACTGGCCATAGCCACCTAAAATAAAATCCTCCTCCCGACATCACGAAATCACTAGTTACTTGCAGCATCATTCATTACTATACACCCAAAAATAAATGTTACTGACATATGAGCAAAGCATAACTCGTCCTAACGAAACTGGATAAGGAACGTATAAGTCCCAAATAAAAAATTACATCAAAGATAGCAGTAGTCATGAAACATCCAGTGAACATTTGGGTTCGAGTTTCAGTTACCATCTGTAAAATAACTACAACACCACCCCCCCCCCCCCCCCATCTACATCACCGATGGCGATATCATCGGAACACGTTAGCATGTGTGCTGGTGTCCGAGACACTATAAGAGTTAAAATAAACCCTCATCTAATCCGCTCCTTGATAGAGGAATGCATCCTCTTTGGCCTGTGACGCTAGTCCCCATATTTTAAGGCTGGGTCGACCAGTGACGGCCAGTACTATGATAAAAATCCGGTTTGGTCACAGCCAGCAGTGGGTTTCGATCGTAGTACGTTGGAATAACGAGCCGGACTCGCAACGCCTAAACTAGGGACGCCGCAATACCTACTTATACTTATCGATTTATACTGATGACTGTCAGAGAAATCTACATGGCTTAATAAACAAGTGTTTTTGGCTGCCATAAGTTTCCGTCGTTTTTTTTTTTTTTTCCTTCTTGGAGTCGAATGTAGTTCATCAATATAACTGAGCAGATCACATGAACTGAGCCATCACAGCAAATGCATTGCAAGTATCTCCTAATGGCAGCATTCAGTTTTGATTTTACAGCTTTGTCAGAACCAGCTGAAATAAGTAACAATTCCAACAATGACATTGATGAAAGCAAAAACACAAAAGAAGATTAAGTCCAATGTCTCGTGATTGTATAGTTCAGAGCTCCTATTATTAAATTGATTCTTGTCAATTTCTGACAAGTTCAATTTGAAAGTCGTTTTTGCTGAACTGTCAGACATGTCGATCCTTGCAGCGAATGCCTTGTTGCTGCTTCCATTTTGGGGTCCCGTCAGCCCTTCAAATACAGTCTTTGCGAATTCTGGTATAGACTCTGTGGGGCTTAAATGTTTGACTGTTTGATGGATGGAGAGGTTGGCAGGTATCTCCCTGCGGTCAGCTTCTGCATTCCGTGGTCCGCGTCCTAATTCGGATGCAAATTTTAGTGACGTGTTGGCGCTTTGGATCTTCTGCAGATATCTGCAGCGCCGTAATACGAACAGAGAGGCCATGGCAACCAGGATAATTTCAGAGGTGACAACCACGACAAGTATGTTGATGGTTGGCAGGTGTCGAATACTCCTGGGCATTTCGTCGTTAATGGTGAACAGAAACACTGATGTGGACACAAACATGGACACCACGAAGGACATCTTTTCTCCACTTTCAGCTGGGATCCAGAAGACGAGTAGGGTCATCAGTGAAGTCTGCACCAGAGGGATCAAAAGGTTGGCCACATAGAATTGACTCTGACGCCGCAATCTTATCTTCCACCGTAACGTGAACGGTTCTTCCACTGAGCGCTTTAAGTGATACCAGTCAACAATTTCCCATTCGCCGCTTGTGTGTAGAGCCTTGGCCATTTCAAAGTCGGTTTCTTTTGAGGTGACAGCGGAGAGAGGGTTTTGGTTTAATTCCCTAAAGATGATGACACACGTCTGCTGGTCAAATGGGTACTTGGACATATCAAACTCACACTGGACGGTGAACTGGAATGGAAACTTCATGCTTAATATGGCCCTGCCTGGCTCCTGTTTAGGGGATACTTGTAAATCATCTGTGGTGTCCAGATACAAGCCGTGACCCGTGGAGGTAGGGAGGATAATAGTTGGTGTCCACAATTTAGTGCTTTTGATAAAAGTGTCTGTGATGTTGCCGAACTGGAGTGGATCCCAAGTGAACGAATTATCGTACCACTTGACCATCATGAAGCAGGAGACGGTAATGGCTTGTTGGACCTCATCCAGAAACAGGATTCTGATGGGCGTGAATTTGAGGAAAATTCCTGATATGTTTGCCAGGCTGTTTTGTTTGATGTTGTATGGTGCCAACCGATGCATGATGTTGTGTTGATTTAAGATGAAGTTCTTCAAGCGTGCATTTGCGTCCTGATAGACCTGAGCAGGGTTCATTTGCATAGTGTACACTGGTTCAGCTGTAGAGCCGGCTTCCATGGCCACTGCTGTCTTACCTTTATCTCCATTGTAGCTCTTATCAAGACCTCCTGTTGTATTATTAGTCTTGTTATTTTCTTCTAGCATAATTTCTTTAATGCAAGAAACCGGGATTAACTTTCTTTTTGGCTTGTAACTTGGCTGCTGTGTTGTGTGTCCACGTCTCTCATTTGATATCATATGGCTAGTAGCATTGTATGCAGATTTGGAAACGTTAGACAGACGCTTTTTTCCTTGATTTGCATTATTTTCTTGATTTTCTGCGTAGATATTACTAGGAACATTCAGTAAACCCTTGACATTTTTTACTTCCGCTGTTTCCAGATCTTCTCCATTATGTGCTAGTCTGATATTGAACGAACTTTTTGTCTGGAAACTGGTTCTCTTTGGTGTTTGGGAAATGTTTCTCAGTTTAGGACGAGATGCCACAGTTGTCAAAGATCTGGAGGATTTTCCTTGCACAGTCTGCATGACGAACAGACAAACCACGGCCACAACCGTTAATGCATTTAACAGCATTATGTATATTATCTTTTTTTTTTTCAACACACGCACAATATCATCAGTTCAGATTGTTGCTTCCTGTGAACAATTAATTGTATCCATTCCTTACCTCTATTTTAATCTGATTTCTTCTCGTAAACAGCTTTTTTCCTCACGGCAACCTTCTGGAATCCAAGAAGTTATAAAAAGGTTTGCCGTGTAGAAATCATAAGTCGAACTATATTACTCCGTGCAATCGAGAGTTGCAATGTTCGCTATAGCACACACTTTAATATACGTCTAATCAACCATCTGCGGTTCCGGTAAAGTGCTCATTGATAACATACAGACATAAGTGGTGTTTTACTACACGCAAGTGCAGACTTACTCCACATAGGTACGATCATAGTGCAAACAATCTTACTCGGTACAGGTACGATCTTACTGCATGTAGGTATTGTCTTACTGCATGCAGGTATTGTCTTACTGCGTGCAGGTATTGTCTTACTGCATGCAGGTACTGTCTTAACGCATGCAGGTATTGTCTTACTGCATGCAGGTATTGTCTAAAAAAAACCCAGATATTATCTTTGGCAAATTACTTTCCATGAGGGTTCATACCAGTCGACAAAGCCCTCTTGCATTACCGTTTATTAAAACAATTTGTTTGTACACATTTTGATTGCAATGCAACCTGTCCCAAAATGGAACAGACTTCTCACAATAACCGCGTTGGCTAGATACTCAGCGTGATTCTCAAACGCTCAAACGGCTCTAAAGCTATGCAGAAAAAGCTTGCACAAATCAGAAATTAGACATCATAGCCTCTCTTGCATTGACCTTCTTTTAACTAGTTTGGACCCGAGCTAGTAGCCAATATTTAAACACGGTACAATTTGATTGGTCTATTTAATTAAAAAGAAAGGGGTGGGGAAAAAAACCCAGAAGATATCTAGTATTCTGGTAATTGAAACATATTTGGTTTTCCTAAGTGCCCAAACAAAACGCCAAGAATGGTAAAATAATTGTGTATAGTAGCGTTTCAAGAAGGTTAATCATTTAACCTGAAAATATTATGCTGGCACGTACGTCCATAATCGAATGGCAGGCCGGCTGATGGACGTTTGGCGGCACCAACGCTTCTCAGAATTTGGGGTGCAGAGCACTCGTGCAGTGAAAAGGGCCTGGAACTCAGGAACTTTGAGCCTCCAGTGTTTTTTTGTAGGGGTTGGGAGGGGAGGGGGCGGAGGGGGGGGGGTTTGACTAATCGCACCCCACCCCTTCCTCCATGAAATTGACAATAGGGCTTTATGGTCCATTTAGCCATATACACACGTCCTCGTTGTAAGTATTTCTTCATAAATTAATTGTTTTGCTTTCAAGACACAGTTTATATTATTTAGCACAAGAGACAAAGGTTGTTTCCTCACTTTCTACACTAAAATAGACCAATTTAAGGAAATGCAGAATTGGTTTTTTCTTATTCCACACATACAAAAGTGGAGGTCCTTTTTCCGCGCTTTTAGCTAGACCTATACTTTTATAGACCAATCGGCACAAGATGGGTGAGGTGGTCAGCATAACACCAGCCGCCTTTATTTCCCGGGACTGCACCTGATACTCACTCAAGGCTGGGTCGACCTGGGAGTCAAGGTCATTTTTGAAAAAAGTCAGGCTCTGCCAGGGAGCGAACCCACGACCTTCCGATCCGCATGCGAGCTTCTAGCCGCTACGCCAGGGCGGCCCCCTGATTCCACAGAGAAGTATAAACAACAACCGATGCAACTAAAGCTAGTTCCCTCACCTTCCACACTTAAAAAAAAAAGACAAGTCTAAAAGGAAGCAAAGTTTCTTTATATTCTACACAAAAATGTAGTCAACAATTGAACAAACAAAAGTTAGGTTTTCTGATCTACTGCATGAAAATATAAACAACAGCTGAGACTGCGGGAACTGTCGTTATGTTTTATCATTGTCTAGACACAAATGGAGACATCAGTTGAGAGATTCCCCGTGTGGGTTCCGGGGCCCCATCGTGGTGAAAACAAGAATAGACCCTCTGCCTACCCAAAAGCATGTCGTAAGAGTCGACTAATTGGGGAGCTTCCTTTGTGCATCTGCCTGAGAGGCAAGGAACCAACAGTCTGGTTCAAGTGAATCAGATCTGTGAAACTGATGCACACGCAACACTCAGGTTTTGGAGCAGGGCTGCAGTTCAGAAGTGGACGAACAACCAGAACTTTCCCCTAGAGTGTGCAGCTGGTGAACGCGAAGAAGAAAGAAGAAGTTCAGAGATGAGAGGTAAGGGTAAAAGGTTAAGTGGGGAGGTGTGAACCAGCGTCATTTCACACGATTATAAACCATAAGTGCTCTGCCACCAGTACAGACAGCTGATAATAAACTGTCCACTTGAGTCGCCGACCGCACGTAACTCCGTAGCTACAGGGACGTTCCTCCATTTACCCTAGAGTGTTAAAGAGATAAGAGGTCGTTTTTTTTTTTTTTTTTTATAGTTTCCGCAGAAATGTAGACACAATATTACGTGATAGGTTGAAGCAAAGGGCTGACAAAAATCACCTGGAACATTTTGCAGAGTTATCACCACTTGGAAAAGGGCATATAATCAGGTAATCGGGGTGTCCACATAACAAGAAAGAAGTCCCACAATATTAGGTCCGCTCCTGCTACAACCAAAAATTACACAGAATGCCTGTCGTTGAGCTTTGCGAAATAATTGACACAGATATAGCATAATGAAAGCCAATAGCATACACACGCAGTAAATGCACAAGGCAGCCGACAGCAGTGCCAACACAAAAGTCCGGCACAAGAACGTGACATAAATAACGTTGCTCCCATCACAACCCTAACAAATATTCTCCACTCTTGGCCAAGTCAACAGCTATCTAACAGACTTCTCCTCTATAAGACGCTTTGGGTCTGCAACTTTAGATAAAGAAACTTTTCGTTTCGAAATGTGGCCCCAATAAAGTTTAAGTTTTGTAATCACTGTTCTAGGTGCATTTTACATGTTTGTTTCGTTTATTTGATAGCATTTTTTAATGTGCTGATTTAGTATAGTTGCATTTAATTCTTTAAATAGTCCTTTTTACGATAAATCTATAAAACACACAATGTAATTGATCTGCACGTGTCATCTTCCAAGTATTTTTTTTTTCCAATTTATAATCCTCGGTGTCTGTGTTTCACGTTAGATAATAACTGTGTTTGTTTTTTTAATGATGGAATAAACATTGTGTCGACATGGCCTAATGCGTTTTAGGAGCTACAGCTTGTTATTTGTTATTTCTTTACATAACTCGTGACACTGCACTATTAGCTACATTCTAGGTGATCTGTCTCCTGGGGGAGTGCACATTAGGTCTGTGTAAATACTATATGTTTACTTACATTTCATTGAAAGTACATATTGAGCTGTAAAGAATAAACATGAATGATTTGTTTGAAGGCCTTATGTTTATTTACCATACACTGATAGTTAAATGTTTTTGAACCTTGCTGGAGCTCCTGAGTTCGTGCGTCCGCGCAGTGATCTGATACAGCAACATCTGCAAAGTATCTAAGTGGGATATGAATGATGCAGGATTCATGCTTACCAGAAAATGACATCTCATAGTGAACTGATTCTTCTCATTGATCGATTACTGGTGACTAGTGGGTGTTTATTTTATCTCTAAATCTGAACTAGTACCTCTTCTTCTTTCACGTTCACCGGCTGCAGACTCCAGCGGAACGTTTTAGTTGTTCGTCTACTTTAGGATTTTGGCCTTGGTCCAGGGCTTGGGTTTTGCGTCCACATCTGTTTGACAGTTTTTGGTTTATTTGTATGCAACTGTTGATTCCTTGCTTGCTAGTTAGGTGCGCTTCTTGTTAAATTTATTCAAAATAATGTCAAGTGGTAAATGATTTCTAACTTCCTTTCTTTTGTTTTTTATTTCTCAGTTTAGCTCTTATGAACTTAAAGAGGACATTGATGCCAATTGATCTACATGACACGATTAATACCCCACAGTGAAGACTTTGGAAGACAACAGAGGAGGCTACACATAGAACTACCATAAAAAAAATCAAATTCGAGAGACCTCGTCTGTCTATATTTAACATCCATCTTCAGTCATGGTAAGAGACTTTTAATGACCTAATTTGTTTGAATCAGTCAACTCCAAGCTTCCCCTAGCACTAACGGATGGTATATCAGTCTTTTGTAGCAATGAATTGATTGATTAAAAAGGTGATAGTAATAATTAATTCTCTAGCAATGAAGATTGACTGGTTCAACCCCACCGAGCGATAAACATCCGGTGACACAAAGTGCACCATTTTGATGAGGATCACTCCGGGACATGTACCATAAAACCCGTTCAACCCATAGGTTGGGGTTACATTAGGGCTTCCCGGCAACAGCCGAAATCGGACTTTAAAGTTAAGAAAAAGTGCATCCCTTATCGGGACGGCGAGTATAATATAACTAGCAATAAAGTATTTGTAAAATACAACCCTTAGCAAGGACACTAACTCTTTTTGTTACAGACAACACACTGCACATGACTGGGTATTATTCACATGTACCAATAAAAATATGTATCTTTTCATACCTTACATTTGGTGAGCGACTCCGGAAAACTCTAAAAACACATTTGTTTTCTGCAATGGTTGTACATTTGGCCGTTGTGGAAGTTGTATACCCATGAGGCTAGAATATTGTGGGACTGAACGACTGAAGTCCAACCCCGAATCTTCAGCTGTCACCAGGACCGTACAACCCCCACCAACTACTCATCTACAGCGCTGGTGACAAGTCTCGGAAAACTCGGACAGCTTTTGGTTAAATAACCTAATTGCCCATCACTTTCTTCCAGAAAACTGGAGGATCAGGTCTTTTCATGTTCGCTACATTCGTATGAATAACTGCCTGATGCCTTATGGTTGTTTACAATCAGGCTGCGATATTTGTATGGTCTACAGACACTTCGGTTCATACAACTTGATTGTAGACTGAGACTTGCCGATCCAAACAGATGTAGGTTTTCTGTTGCAGGCGGGTTCCCCCCCCCCCCCCTTTTCCCCGAAATAATACATTGTATCGCAGCAGGACCCTCAGTTTTGAACAATATTTTTCCCGTGTGGGTTCCGGGGCCCTATTATTGGGACAACAAGAATAGACCCACTGCCTACCCAAAAGCATGTCGAAAGAGTCGACTAACTGGGAGCTTCTTTCGAAGTCGGAGTGCATCTGCCTCAGCGGCAACGAACCAGCAGTCTGCATAAAAATGAGTTAGATCTGTCAAAAAGATGCACACGCAACACTCAGGTTCTGGAACAGGACTGCAGTCCAGAAGTGGGTGAACAAACAGAACTTTCCGCCAGCGTTAACAGCTGGTGAACGCGAAGAATAAGAAGAAGAAGAAAAATGTTTAATCGACGAAGAATCATCTAGGCTTGCAAGGTGAACAGGCAACCTAACATTTTCCTCCAATTTGAACGGCAAGGCATTTGACGCTACTGCTGTGAGATCAGGGAAGTGAATAGAATCACATACGCTTTATTCTTAAAACCGCATGCTAGGAAGATGAATATGAAACTACAGCTAGAAGTCGACATCCAAACTGGGGTCGCTAAAGGCGCACTACAGAATGCGGATCGTTAAAGGTGCACTACAGAATGCGGATCGTTAAAGGTGCCCTATAGAATGTGGGTCGTTAAAGGTGCACTATAGAATGTGGGTCGTTAAAGGTGCACTTTATAATGTGGGTCGTTAATGGTGCACTACAAAACTATGTCGCTAGAGATGTCCACAAAGGCGTATGTATTTACAGATGGAAACCACATCTGTAAATGTTTAACAGGTGGACTCTAAAACTAGATGTTGCAAGACTTGAACGGCTATGTCAGTACCTGAGTATATTTACCAATATTCCACAAGTCTACTAAATTACGAGCTGGAGGACATCTACTGTGTCAGTTTATAAAATTAGCTAACTACAACATGACACACTGGAAATTAGCTAACTACAACATGACACACTGGAAATTGGCTAATTACAACATGACACACTGGAAATTGGCTAATTACAACATGACACACTGGAAATTGGCTAACTACAACATGAAACACTGGAAATTGGCTAATTACAACATGACACACTGGAAATTGGCTTACTACAGCATGACACACTGGAAATTGGCTAAATACAACATGACACACTGGAAATTGGCTAACTACAACATGACACACTAGAAGTTGGCTAACTACAACATGACACACTGGAAATTGGCTAATTACAACATGACACACTGGAAAGTGGCTAAATACAACATGACACACTGGAGATTGGCTAACTACAACTGATACACTGGAAATTGGCTAACTACAACATGAGACACTGGAAATTGGCTAACTACCGTATGACACCCTGGAAATTATCTAACTACCGTATGACACACTGGAAATTGGCTAACTACAACATGACACACTGGAAATTAGCTAACTACAGTATGACACACTGGAAATTGGCTAACTACCGTATGACATACTGGAAATTGGCTAACTACAACATGACACACCGGAAAGTGGCTAACTACAACATGACACCTATAAAGTGGCTAGCTACAATATGACACACTGGAAATTGGCTAACTGCAACATGACACACTGGAAAGTGGCTAACTACAGTATGACACACTAGAAATTGGCTAACTACAACATGACACACTGGAAATGGGCTAACTACAACATGACACACTGGAAATGGGCTAACTACAACAAGACACACTGGAAACTAACCAGTCACTTACTTAATCTTAGTTCTCGAATCTCTTCTTTGTGTGTGTGTGTGTGTGCGTGCGTGTGTGTGTATGTGTGTGTGTGTATGTGTGTGTGTGTGTGTGTGTGTGTGTGTGTGTGTGTGTATGGGTGTGTTTAATGGAATTTTGCAATTTATTGCAGTTTAAAAAAAAATTAAAATAAAGCAACAACCTTAGAATTATCGTTAGTTAGTTTGTTAGTTGGTTGGTTGGTTAGTTAGTTAGTTAGTTTAGTTAGTTAGTTAGTTAGTTAGTTAGTTAGTTAGTTAGTTAGTTAGTTAGTTAGTTAGTTAGTTAGTTAGTTAGTTAGTTAGCTAGTTAGTTAGTTAGTTAGTTAGTTATTCGCAGTTAAAATTTCTCAGGGCACCAGTGTTTTGTTTCCTTCTGATACGAGGAAAAGTATTATGTTGGCTTCTTTAAAAATGTGCAAACTGATGAAAGTGTGTGTTTGTGTGTGTGTGAATGTGTGTGTGTGTATGTGTGTGTGTGTGTGTGTAAAACGAACACACACAGGAAGATGCTTGGTAAAGATATTCGCGCCGTGAAGCAGCGGTTCTTAACCTATTGGTCGCGACCCTTTTTGAGGTCGAACAACCCATCACATAGGTCACAAAAGACAAATATTCATTGAAGTTATGATGTAGCGACCAAAATAATTGTATCGTTGGGCTTGTCACAACATAAGGAACTTTATTGAAGGATCGCGACATTAGGAAGGTTGGGAACCACTGCCTCAAAAATGCTCTAAGCCCCCCCCCCCCCCCCCCCCCCCCCCCCCCCTTTTCCCACCTCCTTTTCCAGTTATAATTGTTTGAAGTTGATCTACACATTTTATTTACGAATCGTTTTCTTCGTCGAACTATAGGACATGACAGACACGGAGGCGTGCTATTCTGACAGCGAATCATTGGAGTTTTTCTTTGATTCGGAAATAGACAATGACGATGTCGACGACAGCGCGCCTGGCGGCACTAAAAGGATTTCTGCTAGAAATAGAATTGAGGTCTTTACCACCCCGGAGAAAAAGGTTCGGCAGGTCGTGGCAATGAGAGGGATGAAACTGTTTAGGAGGTGAGCGGTCGTGTTCATGCTCTCATATTTGTGAATGTCTGTGCGAGAATGGGATTTTTTATATGTGTAAAGGATCTTTTTCCACTCCTTCGGGTGCATTGCGCTTATAGGGTTAGACATATATATACATATATATATATATATATATATATATATATATATATATATATATATATATATATATATATATACATATATATTAAAGACCAATCGGCACTTGGGGGGTGGTGTGGTCAGCATCGCGCTGGCCGCTTTTACTTCCCAGGACTCCACTTGGTACTCATTCAAGGCTGGGTCGACTTGGAAGCCATAGTCATTTTTTAAATGAAAGTCCGGTACCGCTAGGACCCGAACCCAGGCCCCAGTAAACCTAAGATGGCTAAGTAAATGAATCAAATAAAAAAAAAAAATTCTCGTAAGTTCTGCAACGTCCTGCAAAGGACCCGCAAGTACCTTTTTTTTTGTTTTTTTTTTTTTTTAACTCTTTGAGTTCCAAGGAACGCATCATACGTTCATAGGTTCCTACCTAGAAGCCTAATAAACGCATAATGAGCCGATTTTATGACTCTCTTTACTACCACCTTGTGATGCTAAACCCCCTGGGACTCAAAGAGTTCAAAAGAAAAGTAAACCATCTTGGTATTAATTCCTTAGACTTCATCTTACACTGCCCCGCCTCCTCCCCACCCCACGCCTCTCCCAGCCATAGTTATCACCACATTTGTATACGTTTTTTGTCCGGGGGTGGGGGGGGGGGGGGGGGCGGTTAAAAACCCTAACATGTTTTTAACATGAACAAATGTTACGGATCGTACACGTCTAAAATCTGCAATCAGTTTTTGACTATCGTTTGATTCTCGGCGGACTGCTCCGTGTTCACTGACATCAAATGTTTCCCCACCTTTAGTTATTGTCCAAGATAGAGACGCCAGCAACAGAACAGGTTGCATTCAGCATGTTAATATCCGTTGTTTCTCACTACTGCTGACAACAGCATACGGGGGTGTAGGTTTTTAACTGTGCAGAAGAAAGGTTTTGAAAATAATGAATCGAAGTGAGATGAAAAGGAAGCTAAACAAAAACGCTAACAACGAAGACACAAATCCCTGACCAGGCCTATCTATGATACTGAAATCTCTGAAGGTGAGCGGCGGCAGAAGATCTTCCAGAAGGTTCTCCTGTAGGAAGGGTTGAAGTTGTAATAGACAAACACGTTCATGGAGGCGTTGATCATGTTCACCAGGAAGGTCAGATGCAGGATTATCAGAAACACACTCTCCGCCTTGGGGTCGGCATTCAGACCGGGGACCAAACTCATACCATACATGGCGCATAGCCGTTCGGAGTTACACGCAATAGCTAGAACAGTCAAAGCGAGAATTGTCTTGACAACGTTGACGTTTTTGTTCAGGAGATTAGGGGTTTTTCCTGTTATTGTTGTTTGTGCCTGCTTGTTTGTTGTGCTGTGTGTTAAGTACACAGTATTCACTTGAGGTGAGCATCCCAAAGAACTGTGGACATTTGGCTGTTTGATTTCTTGTCGGCGACATTTGGAAGATTGCATGAGTCTAATGATGGGTTCTGAAGATCTTTGTACATTTGATTGCTTTATTTCCTGCTGGCGGAATTTGGCAGATTGAATTAGGCCTGTGATCATGACTGCGGCGCTAACGACAATAATGATTTGGTAAATGGCGTCCAACCCGACATGGACGATGTAGTTGAGGTAGGAGAGAGTCTCTGCTCTGTCAATTGAGGTCCACAGTGCGGTGATAGATCGATTCGTTGATTTATCAAATTTGATGTAAACACCGCACGTTTTAAAGTGCGGTGTGAAAGCTGCAATGGTCAGTGCGTAAATGACAAATAAAAATGAATGAGAGTTTTACAGTAAAGACATCTTTAAAGCGTATAGGCATGGCCACACAGAGGCAGCGCTGCAGCGAGATAAAGGCGGTGATGCCCTCAGAGATGTCGTAGAACATCCCAGCTGGATAGATGACCATCACGTCCAAAGCCACGGGGTCAATGACCGTGTGGTTGTTGATGAAGTTGTAGCTGTACAATAAACTAAAAACCAAAAGAGTGCAGCAGCAGCAGAAATCGGAGATACCTAAAGCAAACAAGCAAAGAGTGATACATTCTCTGCGTCCTTGCTGAAAAAAGATAATGAAATTGAGAATATTTGACAAGCACCCAAAAACACCCATTATGGAGAATACAACGAAAATTAGATAGTCGTTAGCCAGCAGTAGCAATTGAATAATTCCGTCATCGAATTCTTTATTAGTTCCATTAAACTTTGAATGGTTTACTTTGAGAAAAGATGACATGTCAGAATTCCATGTGTCTGTGCTGAAGTAGCTTACGTAAAATGTTGTACATAATGATTATCAAATTGTACATTTATTTTGAAGCAAAGTTTTTTTCTGGTGAAAAAGATATATCGTACTCACCACACAGTATCTATTGTAGTAGTCAAAATGATTATGCCTAACAAGGTGCCGGTGGCGCGTATTGTTGCATAAAGGGGAAAAAAACGTTCTAGAGAGAAATATGTATTCATTACAGTTTGTTTCCAGTCATGAATTTTAAAATAAAAACAAGGAATTAGGGAATATATTGCAGTTCTATCACAGTGTAACAATTGTCCTGTGATTTGTGTATTTTAGTTGAACGGATTCGTATTATGTGCTTCCTCGCATATTGATGTAAACATTGTACCAGCGCATCTGCTGTTGTTCTGCGAAGTATGTCATTGCAAAATATACTCTTTGTGCCCTCACTCTTTCGTAATCGTAACATTCAATTTATGTTCATAGATGCGGTTTCTTTTTAATTCTGGCCCCTCAGCTAACGGAAGTTTAAAATGGAATATAAGTCTTCAAAGTGTCTTAAGCAGTGGGCGTAAAAACAAAAGATATCAACCTGCCACGCAAGCAATTAGTTGTCTGTAAATGTTGTCGTTCTGTGAAAGTACAGTGGCAGGTAGTAGTTTGTTCTGCTGTATGATAGATTTTTTATGTTGAACAATATATAATTTGACGAAGCCAGCAGATTTGTAACTTTCCATGCGACGTTCACAATTACACTGCCTTTCTGCGATATAATTTGTACCGGCTGCACATTATGCCTGAATAATTGTATTGTTTGTGGTCACTGGTAGTTATTACTTGTCAAATTTCAACCTCTTTCACCTGCCCTTCTTCCCTTTTCCATTCCTAATGTCATGTTATTTGTAGTACGACATGTTCAGTCAATATATACCGCGAGTCCGTAAGGTCATGGTGTGCCGCACATGGTTAAAGACGTCAAAAGTTCACCATGACTTTACGGACAGTTTATTATTATAACTCAGTTTTAAAAAAAAAGTTATACTACTCACCAAAAACTGTTCAATAAAAAAGGAGTTTCGTGTCAACACTTAATATCTATTAAGGCAACACTGAAAACTTGATGCCTAAAGATAGGTGATATAGTACTGTATAGCCTCCCGTACGACTAGAAAAATATCATATTAACTGTAAAGCCAAGGAGAAAAATATAGGGCCTCACTGTGTCTATGTGTTCAAGCTGTTTGCATTGTGCTTTAAAATTGGGTTCGTTTCAGGATGGTGTTGTTCGTTTCATGAGTGCACTTGTTACCTAGACACCTGTGTAGCATCTGAAGAGCTACAGAGTTCGTGCTTTGTGTTACATTCTCAGTAGACGTCTAGCTGTACTCCGGAAAAAGACCAAGCCATATGGGATAAAATCTGGCGCACTTAAGTTGGTTTCTTGACTTTAACCCTTAACCTTTAAATGCACAGCAATAAAGTTGAAAGTCGAAAACTATATTTAAAAAAAAAAATCTTTTAAAGCAAGAGCAGTAGAAGATACACTGCATTCCAAAGGGCTAGAAGAGTCACCAAGAAGATATTTTTTTTTTTTTAAATCAAAAGAGGAATCCTAGACAGAGAAGGAACTGTTTAAAATAAACTAGTAACAAACTCCCTACAGTAATTCTTTAAAAGAGCCAAGTCTGTGCGCCTGAGAGATGAGTTGTTTCAAGTCTTCCCAACAATAAATGATGTACACGGAAGAGCTTTTTGCGTTTGCCAGTAATAATAATAATAATAAAAATGAAACATACTTTAAATGGCAACTGAACACCCAAATAACAAATAACCCAACCTCAGTATGCACTACGGCTTATAAAGACTATATAGAACAGATAATTCTAGATCAGGAAGTGAGAGAAGCAATTAAAAAAGGCCCAACAATAAATCTGCAAGAATTGATAATATTTCAGTCGAAGTCAGCAAATCATGCCAGGACGTGGGTGTAAAATGGTTGACAAAGATCTTTAAATAGGCATGAGGAAGGTACCAGAAGACCGATAAAGATTTGTAATTGTGCTAATATGGAATTTAAAAAAAAAAAATTAATGCAGCAAGAAAGGGTGCAATCATTACAGAGGCATATCCTTCCTTAGTCACGTAGGAAAAGTACGCAAGAATTTTGGAACAGATTGTAAGATATTGCGTGGGATCATTCCTAAATAGTTCGGGTGCTTTATTAATATTCTACCCCAAACAGGGGAAATCAACAGGTCACAGGACAGTCTAATATTTCAGGGGGTGGTAGATAGGCTGCACGCAGTCGTGGAACATAGGCTGCATGCAGTCGTAGGACCTTGGCTGCACTCTTTCGTGGGACGTAAGTGGGTTGAGGTTAGGGCCAGTTATATATGTTTTGGGGTCGTTAAAAGCATCAGAAAGCCCGGAAATCCAGTCTTACTACCCTCTAAAATGTTGGTCTGTCCTGTGACATCATCTCGGGTAGGATATTAATAAAGCACAATAATTGGCAGTTCAGCTTCAGAAAAAGAAGGGAGAGCACCGGTGCTTTTTTTAAATACTGGCAGATGATTGAGAAACCCATAGAGTTTAAGAAGGAACTAAATGTGGGATTTATTGGTCAAGAAAACGCCTTTGACTGCCTAAACCGAGACAAGCTAT